CCTGCCTGTCCTTTCCCACTCATCCTTAATGGGAAATATGTGAGGTTTGAAAGGGAATGAGCCCTGCACAGTCCTGATCGCTTCCTGGAGAGCCTGAGATGAGGGAACTGAACAAAGAGCAGCACAGTGCTCGCTGCCTCCCCTTGACCCCTCATCCCACCACCCGGAGGGGAGCAGAGGCAGCAAAGGCACTGAGCGAAAGATGGGAGCAGGGAGGAACAAAAATGTGATTAATCATTAATTTCCATCTTGTGTGAACTCTCTTCTAGCCTCTAGATACAACACTTCTGTAAAAAAAAAAAAAAGGAAAGAAAAAAAAAGAAAACAAAACAAAACAAAAAACACCAAAAAAGGCCAAATGGTGAAAGCAACAAGAAAAGAACTGAAAGTATTTTTTATCTATAGCCTATGGTATTTATGCAGGTTCCTCCAGATTTGTGGGATAATGCAGGTAGGCTGGGAAGTGCATGTGTCAGCCTTGGGGCTTTCATCAGCCAATTACTTGGTCTTCTGGGGCCACCATGTCCCCATTAACCTACAGAAGTAGTATCAGTTTCCCACCCTAGTGAATACTTTTGTATCTGCAACCTTGGAAAGCCCAGAGCCCTTTTCTGAGCAAGGAAACCAAATTTCCCTTTTTGTCTCTGTAATCCTTTCAGATGTGACTGTCCAAAAGTGTTAGGTTAAAAGTGGGACCTCTTTTACCTCTGATACTGTAACTTATCCTCCTCCTCTTAAGCACAGCTATGTAATGAATTCGTAGTGAAGCCCACACAGTTGTTCTTTTTGATAGCATCTTGCTCCAAGGTAAATGATATTTCACAGTCTCTCAGGCTTGGCAAGCTGATGCTGTATGCTGCAGCTGTTGTTCCCAACAGGAAGGGAGGGTTTAGGCTGCACTCGAAGGAAAAAAATAAATAAGCTGAAGCAAAAAGTCTCTATCCAGGAAGTTTTGCCTGACAGCAGTAGAAAATAGGACTAGAAATCCCTGTCTTTGCCGGCTTTTCATGACAAGATATAATGCTAAATCTATAATCTCAGACTGCAAAAATCATCACGGTATTGAGACAGGCTGAGGGGAAAGTTCCAGGGATATCTCACTGTCTGCCCAGTTCAGCCTTGGTTGTCCTCAGGGAGGATGTTTGAATCCACCACACAGACTTTTGAGGAGAAAGAGCTGCTGCTTCAGGATTGCTTTGCCTGGGTGCTGCTCAGGGTGTAGCAGCTCTTGCAGTGGTTCAGTTGGTTCCTCCCCAACCACGAGTTCCAGATGCTCTTCAAGCCTCTACCAAAGTCTCTGCTGTGAGAACCAGCCGTGCGGCCCAGCAGGTTGGTGTGGTGTGATCGCCCGGGGCTGCTGGTCGTGCATAATGTGTGAGCGATGGCATCAGCTTTCTCCAGTCCTCTGCCAGCTACACATTTTAGACCATCTTAAACACCCTAGATAGGTAAGCATTGTGCAGCTTGGGTGGTTCCTGAATGTCAAAGACTTCCTGCAGCTCAAGGAGAGCTGCAGCTGCGGCGCAGCACGAGATATGCTGAATCCTGAGAGATGCCAGCGAAGCACCATTTCCTACTGTTTACCTCCTCCCATCTCTGGGAGGAACAGTAGTCTATTTATACATTACCTCATATTGTAGTGTCTTCCCCTTGGCTTCAACAGTTTTGTTTTCTTCCTGTTTCCAACTCATTTTGTGCTAGGAGGATGGGGAGTATGAGCCATAGATTCCTGACCCTCTGAGTAAGCCAAAGTCAGGTCTGATGTGATGTCACAGAGAATTAAATCTCTGTGGCCATGCAAAAGGATAAAAAGGATATCTATTTCCCAGGATGGACAAAGGTGCAAGCATAATCCATTTTATGTGGTGCATAAGCTGCTGGTGATTGTAAGTGCAATTAGACTGTGAAACCCTTTGGGCACAGAACAAGATTTTCCCTCTGCTGTCAAAACAGTAATTATTACTGAACAAGCTCTTGACCCTCACACAAGGCCAATATATAAGGGCTTACTCTGGAGAGAGGAAATAGCTGTCCTTCCTATTTTGCATCTTAGGCATACAGCTTTCTTTTTGCCACCCTCTGACTTATATGTGAACCTTCAGGTTTTATTCATGTTCTTTGAGTGCAGTATACCTACTGCTTCACAGTTATTTGGCTGTTAGAGAATTTAGTGCTTACTGCACCCCCATTAGTCTGTAAAGCTTATTTGGAGGAAATTCTTTTATAGTATCTGTATATAATCTGTTTTTGAGTAAACTTTTCAATGTGACTACAATATGTACCTCTCTTTCATCACTCTATGTAAGACATAATCAGTGAAATGGGTGTGTAAGCTGACCCTACTTTTTGTGTAGAGCTGTAGCTGACTTTCCATGAACAGCAGCTCATTTAGTGATACCAGAGAGGGAAAATAGGTAGGGTCATGAGCTCAATGGACGAAGTGTCACAAATTCTTTGTGATCATCTACTATGTCCAAAGATCAGAAACAGTGCCTCAAATGCCACGGAATTCCTGCCTCTATTCTCCTGTAATGGCCAGCACCACTGAAAAGCCCATCACCTGCTTGTACTGAATATGAACAGGATGTCTACAGGTTGTTTGATAGTGCATAGTGCAGCAGGGCAAGTTGAGTAGATGTGGAGGTGCTACATCATAATACCAACATTTGCTGACT